ATAAAAACTGCTAATGCTCAAATATAACCTCTGTTACGTATAATTATTCGGGATCCTGTTTAGAGCACATATCTTGTTTTTTGGGTTATGCCAGCAGTCTACTTTAGACCGAAGGTGAACTGATTTCTAGTACATGAAAATAAAGATGCGGGTGACTGGCCGAGATTGGCCAGAGCAGCAATGACATCCCAGAAAGTTTGCAACAACTATTGTGCTAGAATTTGCTGAAGGATTGATCAAGCAAGCCGGCTGTGAGACGAGAAAATAGCAAAGAAATATGAGAGTGGAGAATTTAAATCACACAGTAATCCATCTCGAGTGGGTTAGCTGCTAGGACAAAAACTTCGGGTTCCAAGCAGAGGGGTTCTGATGTTTTGCATTCCCATCGTTCTATACTTGCATTATTAATGTGTCTTTGACATATGCCCATGCTATGATTCTCAACAAAGGACATATGATTTTGCATTGTCTCTATATAGTTCTTCGCTTTCATTATGCACTCGAATGAACCGGAACCGTTTTATTTGGGATATCTACATAGATTAACCAAAAAATTTTTACGAAGCAAAAAGAAAAAGAGCCCGAAAATACAAGAAACGAGTGTTTAAACCTGTCTTGATGCACTAATCAAAAATGTCGGGATAGCAATTTATCTATAATATTTGCCTAATCCCTAACCCCTGAACAGCCCTAACCCTAATTTTTAATTACGTACTTCGTTTTAACTTCTTTCCAAATAAGGAATTTTGAAAAACGGTTCAGTAATACACGTATTATTCATTGAGCTTGAATTAGAATTGCGTAATATATTATATCATGTAAATGTGTCTACCGTTTAATTTTTCTATCAATACGTCTTAAAATTATGGACAATGAGTTTATTAATAATAAAAGATTAATTATGAAAGATTTCTTCTTAAAGTTCTTAATATTTACGGAAAATGCGTAAATTGCAACCGATATAACACATCGCCAGCTTGGTGCCAGACATGTGACCCACAAAAAGCAACACAAGGATGGATAATTGTATTAAAGAATTTCAACTTAAATCTATTAAATATGAAATGTAATCGAATGGATTCCTTTCAAAAAATTAGATAATATTCAAATGATTAATGGTAAATTTTTAGCAACCTGGTTAGATGGAATACGTTATTTAAATTATGATGACGATGATGATAAATATACACTGTCACATATACCAACATATAAAGTAGAGCTTAAAATATT